ATGCCACTTTTGAGACTGTTATGTTTTGAGATTTAATGTAGGGCAATTATAGCCAAAGTATATCTGGGGAGAGTCCTAGCAGAGCGAGTAAAGTGGGTAGTTAATTGTTGATGTGTAAGAGGTTTAGTACACTCCTAAAATTTTATACCCCCTTCCAGACGACAGAATATATGGCCAGGAAGCAGCCTAACAGAGTGGGAAGGGAGAGCCGGACAGCAAAAAACACCATAAAGCTAACTGTTCTCTGGCTACCACTTCGTAGGGCCTGGTATCCTGTTTTGCATCCTCTTTACACTGTATTATTCAGACCCAGGCTTCACCATAGAAAGACGATTACAAAGGATACTCTGGAGATCGTACAGGTAGCAATTCCATGGCTCTGCAGTGTGGCTGTGGTATTTTATAATCCCTTGGGACAATCCAGATTTTAAAATGGATGTAAACGGAGAAGGTACCGTTTTACTAAAAATGAAAAGCAGCTCCAAGCTCTATAGCTACCGCATGTGTTAATTTTTAACATACGAAGCATTTTTAATAAATGAGCATTTCATTTAAGGAAATAAATTTATGGACTGCAAATGAGCAGGGTGGGGAAGGCTTCTGCAGGAAAGAAAATGCAAAATAGTCTGCAGAACGGCAGGGTACTACGAATGTGCGCATATAAACTGTAGCTAATATTATGCATGTGACGAAGAGCAGATAATCTGTCAGGAAACCAGTGAAACACCAACATACAAATGGCAAAGGCCTAGCAGGACTTCAGGAAGGAAAAAATAGTTTTCAGATTTGTAAGAGACACATATATTACACTGGCATGTAGCAACTTCTGTATTGACAGTACTCATCAATATATCAGAATATTTGTTATAATTATTTAGCAATAATATATTACTGATGAGTAATTCCATTTTATGCAAGGCTTAAGGGATACACGCTTTTTTCTACAACTGACAGGAATATCACATACTAGGAAGCATTACAATTCCCAAAGTATTAACACTATATTACATTACATGCACACATGTATAAGAGTTTTAGAAATGCCATAACATATTCTATTTGTTACTGCGCAATATTAGTACTTTCAATTAAAAGTATAATCTTAAGATCTGTTTTTTCAGGCATATTTTAGGCCTTATAAAATAATAGTTTTCTGATGAAATTAAAAGTATATGTTAATGACAATAATTTTTTTTTTATTTTCGTGTTAAGTATAAACATGCAATACATACATGACTTTTTTTTTATATTGTTAATCTAGTCTTATCTTTGGTAGTCTATAAGTGATTTTTCTTTTTTATTTTTCAGCATAATGTCATGTTTTAGAAATTGCAGTGAAGTATGAATTTTCTTGTTTTCTCCAGGTAGCAATTCTGCATTGCTTTGTCAATAGGGGAGGCTATCAAACGCAAGATTAATAAAGGAGACCCTGTGTCCAATGCTGCAGGGTATTTTTAATTCAATATAGAAAGAATTACATTTTTTCCTATTATATTTTCAGCCAGAATGTGCCCTTTAGAAAACCAGTATTCTGACCAAAAACATTTTGCAGTTCAGAGCAGTAACTTGTACAGCCTCTTCCGGCAGCGTAGCCTGTGTGCCAGCTCACACACTGGTTGATATTGGGAAAGAATGGCCACTGCTGTGTTGTTCACTTCCTAATGGTGACCACATTAAGCACCTCTGAGCGATGCTGTCCAGAGAAAAATGAAGAACTTAATCTTCATGTGCTGCTCAGCTGATTTGCACTAAACTCCAAGTCCTAATGATGGAGTAGGTAGACCTAATGCTATTTTTTTTAGAAGGGAAGTACATAAGATTTCTTCTTTTCATCTCTTTACTTCTGTAATGGTGGTAAAGGTGGTCAGGATGACGCAAAAGTGTGTCACTGGGGTTCCAGATGCCTTGGCAACCCCTGGGTGCCACTTTTTTATAACAATTAACAGTTCTGCTGGAAAAGTATGAATCAAAATTAGGCCTCATGACTAACCAAAAAAGATTGATTTAAAGACAATTGCACCTATGCTCAGATTATATATCCTTGCAAAAGCAGGTGCCTGTTCCACTAGTAAAAGTTGCAGACTGTATGCACAAACATTTCATGCAGCTAGCGTGGAGACCAGGATCCCTTTGAACGAAAGGCAGATACCTCTCTTTGCAAAGAGCAACTCAGGCAGTCTAAACCAGCGGCCAATTCCTGTCCATTGACTGTGCAGGTAGCCTAAGTATCACCCTCAGTGATTTCACTGACAGACAATAGCATAAGGGAAGGAGAAATGATAGGCATTATGAAGTTATGTCCAAACAGCCTGTTTAATTCAGGTAATAATTACAAGCTGAACATAGCTTAGATTTGGGAGATATGGACTGCGAGCCCCCCCAACCTGAGCACATGCCCCCATCCACCAGGCTGTAAAATATGCTGAGCACGAGCCCGCCCTGTCCCGCCTGCTGAAGTCAGGCTGGCAGGCAGGCAGGCAGCAGCATGTGAACTGTGAGTTCAGGTGAGAGACGGGGAGCCAAAGTCCAGCCCTGCAGCTGGGACGCTCTGCTCTGGTGGCTGTGCTGCGGTTCCCCGCTCCCTGGGTTACTTCCCAGGGCGCAGCCCCCGGGAGAGAAGCAAAGGCACTGAGCACAGGATCTCTCCCAGCTGCACGCCCAAACACACATCCATCCACGATGGCCTCCCGGATAGCAAGGCAGGGCTCGGCTGCCCTCCCAGGCACCCCACAATAGCAGGGGTGCCACAGGGTGCCTGGCCCTCTCTGAACCAAGGCAGCCCCTGCAGGAGCCAGGTGCTTTAATGCCTGGAGCTGCCTGGGCTCCCGAAGCAGGGCTCTTACCAGTCTCTACTGGTTCGGGGCATGCTGGTGTGTGACAGCACATTTTCTACACTGTTCTGTCACCCACAGGCTATATAGGTTTGCCTGGGGACCCACTTTAGCTGATCTGACTATGGACACACATTTTGGATTTGGTAAGGGCCCTGACCTCCTAAATCAGACTATAATCCTTACCAGGGTTGGTAACAAGGATTAGACCAGACAAGGTTTCAGCTAATAAAAGACAGTATTACTGCCCACAGTTTTGTCCTTAAACCATCTCAGCAACAGCCAAATACCTGTGATTCACAAACTGAGCTCTAATGTTCAGGCTAGTTATGTACTTCAGGAATCCAAGACAGCAAATTCAGCGTTCTGGCCTGAGTATTTAAAAAACGTGATTGACCAACCATTTCAAATGGATCTGTATCATCTAGACTCTTCCTTAAGATCTGGGAGTATGTCAAAGTAGGATGTGTATGACTGACTTTAGTCATGTATAACATTACAAATTACTACCACTAATCTCAGTAACAATTAACACTAATTATCTACTCTAATGCACTTTATGGAATTTACACTGAGAAAAACAGTGATCAGTTCTCTTACAGAAATGCCAGCGCAAATACTTATTTTAGGAAGCAGGTAAAACTGGTTTTGAATCAATACTCCATTTGTGATTATATCTGTGCATTTGCTTAGCACAGAAAAAGAAAAAAAAACTCACTGAAATTGGTTGTGAACAAGTTCTGAATAAGTAGGCTTACAAGAAGCCTTCCCCTAATTCTTTGTAACTTCAGTTCACCATTTATTTCTAGGTATCTCAAATCTTTGACTATTCACTGGAAATTCTGATTTGACTTCAGCACAATTTCCATCCTTGCCACTGAAACGTGCAGGTGTGATAAGCTGTCAAACCACTTTACCCTGCTTGTGGTGCTCATCACATTAGCACAGCAAGTGTGAACAGTAACCACAGTGCCCATGGCTGAGGTTTTTCTAAACAACTGATGCTGGGAGACGAGATTAGTAGGTGGGTGTTTGTGACAGAGAGATGAGTCTTCACTGGTACATCACCAACAATTGTGAGCAACCGACTCTTTCTGGACCTCTGCCCTTCAGCAACACCAAAGGAAAACTGTTTTGACAGTGAGGCATTTTAAACAGGAAAGCACTTGTTTGGATAGTTTCCTTCAAAAAAAAAAATCTTCATTGTGCTTTTTCAGATGGAAGAAATCCCATAGAGTGCTCTTATGCTTAGGAGAGCTACCAGTCTATTCACAAATCCACTATGCTGCTCTTTCAACTTAATCAATACAATTCTCCTTCATAGTGATATTCATAAAAAGCATCCCAAGACAACAATTAATGCACCAACATGCTGTGGCTACTGCCTGTTGAGCTGAGTAATTTCTTTTCCTTTTCCTTTCTACTCCCCTGCTTGCCTCCCTACGTATGCCGTTTCTTCACTGTAAGCTCCTTTTAAGTCCAACTGCACAGTTATGCTTTTTGGCACTATGTTTACAGTAAATATAAAAGTAAAGATCAATAGTTCACTCCCTCTGCTATTACATGAATTTACTTCCTATGCTTCTCTGTTTGGTTACATTTAGAGCAAAGACAACTGCCCCAATTACCATATTTTGACAACTTCCATTGAGTGTTAGGTCAGATATGCCACACCCTTAGATGAGATCAATGGTGCTGCCTCAGACTACAGCAAACTCAGACTTTGCTAACTTTAATATATGCTCTTTCACCTAGCATGCAATGCAAGTTGACATCCAGAAATGATTCACAGAGGAAACACAGAAAGGTATTGCACGAGCTTATGCAAAGACTGTGCCTGTAGCACCATTTGAGACCCTCCATAACGCCTGAACAGGGCTGGCAGATTTGACCCACAATGTGTGGGAGACCTGTAGGCTTCTGGGACAGCAGCTGGTGGCCAGGTGGGATATCTTGGGGCATCTAAAAGGGCACTAGATTCACAGATTTTGACAACTGAGCTATACCCATTACAAGAAAAAGTGTACTTGAGCCACGGTAACACTGGTCTTATTACCTTGACCCATTAACCTGGTTTGGGTTACACTCCATCTTGATGGTGACTCTGGCAGGGGGCTGCGATAACCAGTCTTGCTGGGGAACACGCGGACTCATCTTTGACGTCTGCCCATATTCACTGGAGGAGGAGGCCGTCATCTCTGTCTTCGCAAGGTGGGGCGATCCGTAGGCGCACTCAAACAAGGACTGGTCTTCACTCACCACTGATAACGCTTCCTGCAAACCAGAGAAGTCAGCATGACCATGTTTCACAGCAGACATTACAATATCCCCCAAGGAAAAAAAGGGCCTGTCCATCTCACAAGAAGACAAACAGCTGGTCACTTGCTTAAATGCTCATTGCTTTTTAGGCATGCCAACGCTGTCAGTGGAGGTGAGGACTCATGGTGCCAGACAAGCCGTCAGCATATGGCAGGAGGACAACCTCTCCCCTGGGGAGACGCTTCCCACCAGCGGCTGAGAAGATGCACAGACACAGGCTACCAAACACTTGGGAATAGAGGCAGGGAGCTAGGAGGGAGGAGAGGGCAGGACAGGCAGTGAAGCTCAGGCCTCCAGCGTCCCAGGTAGGGATGTGGAAGGCCAGATCTACTGGGGGCGTAAGCAAGCTGCCATCGCTGCTTTAACTGCCCTCACAACAAGCAACCAAATGCCGTGCCTTGCTGACTCACTGGGAGCTCCTCTTCCTTCCTCTGGGACAGAAGCCAAGGCCCTTCTGGACAGGGAGTCGAGACAGCTGGGTGCAACCTCCCATCCAGGGACCCTGCTCTTTATGCCAGCATCTGCCGCTGGTTTCGGCGAAAGTGCCTGCCACCAGCCCCGAGAGGACACCACGCCCACCCAGCCACCTCTCTCCCTCTCATGGCAACCCCTTCTGGTGGGCCAACCAGCTGGGCATCCCGCTCCGGCTGCTGTGGGAAGGGCTTCCCCGGCCACCTTCCCTCACCGTAGCAGCACTGTGGTTATCGCCCCCGAGGGCGGTAGGGTTCACCATGCCCCTCGGTGGTGGGGTGACTGCCATGGTGGCTGGCTGGAGATCAGATAGATGGCAGAGGGAGCAAAGGCCACCCTCTCTCCCCACCGCCATACGCTGGCACCAACTCCTTCCCCACATTATCTGGAGCTGAGTCATGGGAGCGAGGTGGTGCCCGGACCTGGCTCGGGCAGGTGGCATGCCCACTGGGCCCACTGGGGAGCTGTGGGAAGGGCTGATGCTGCTGGAGGGACTCATGCTGCCTGAGCCAAGGCTCCTGGCCATGGCAGCTGGTCTGGGCTCCTGCTGGCCCCCAGCACTCCGCAGGCCCAGAAGGCCACCCTTCCAAAAGCAGCCTTCCAAGCAAAGTCCCCCTTCTCCATGAGCTACTTAGGGTGAACACAAGGCGTAAGGGTGCAAATGGACGGTAACCCAAAGCAGGACTCCCTCCTCCCACCCTGGTGCTATGGCTCTGCCCTGGGACAAAATGGGGCAGGGGGGCAGCCTGGCACCTCCCTCCCTCCCTCCCATGTGGCCCCCGCCAGCGGCCAGGGAGCAAGCCCCAGCAGTGGGGCCGGTGGAGGAGGCTCAGCGTGCAGCACACCAGATGACAGCAGCCGTGGCGGCAGCGGCCAGCTGGCGATGGCTGGAGGCACGGAGGCCAAGGATGGGGACCGCCGGGTGGGGACATGATGGGGGGGAGGCCGATCCAGATTTGGGGCAGGGTGCTCAGCATGCGACTGCACCCTGGCGAGGCAGCGTGTGTAAATAAAACCATGTGGCCCTGTCAGCAGAGGAGGACGCGGTGGAGAGGGGAGAGAGAAGAGAGCCAGAGCGATGGGAGTCCTCCGGCTCTGGGAAGCCGTTCGGCTGCCTGCAGGCTCCTACCTTCCCCGGCTGCTGGAAGAGTGTTTTGCACAAGTTCCATCAGCCGCACACTGCCCTAAAAATCAGCAGCTGTATTTGTTCTTTTTAAGGGGGCATACATTTATCATTCTTTTTATTTGCCTGGTTTTGTGAGCCCTCGGGGTGCACTCTGTTAGTACTGACAGTTTTCTCTGCAACCGCAAGGGCTGGAACATCACTTTCTTCTTGTTACTTCTCATGAAAATTGAGATCACCCCTTAATCTCTGGATTTGGGGAATGGGCTCTCAAGCAGCCCTCCAAATGCCATGAGACTCGTGACTGAATCACCAATACTAACTCTTCCCGCCACTGGCCAGGATGCAAAAATCAGATAGAAATCTGCACCCTGTCATTACTGCTATTAACATGTCGTTTGAGTGCAAAGGTCACCACCAGGCTATCACCATTAATATTAACTCCCCAGTTAGCACCCCTGCTTAGCAAGATCTTCCCCAACCCTGCACCCAGCCACCAAACTGCTGCCTCTTGAGTCCCTGGGGGTGTGAACGAGCTTCGGCGAGACAGAAGGGATGCCAGAATAACACCTCTCCTTTTTGCCATGCTTCTCAGACTCCTGTGGCTCTCTGGCCTGCCTGGATGTGCTAAAAACTGCTGCTGGTGGTGGTCTGGAACTTTTCTAATGAGCCATTTCTGGGAAAGCCTGCACACAGCTCCTGCTTTTCAAGGAGGTGGGGGGGGGGCGCGATGACTGCTGGTCCCTGGCTCCCCACAGGTTGCACCCTGGCTATACTGCGCTGAGAGACAGCAGGGGGACGTGATGTGCTTGGATGGTGAAGTAGCAGGTATCGTATCGCAAGAACTAAAGAAAGAAAATGTTACACTTGAAGGAAGATAAAAAGTTCTTTCTCAACAGTCCATGAGATTTCTTCATGAAGATATAGATAGATAGACAGACAGACAGACAGACAGATAGATATACATACACAGCCTGGACAGGCAATCACAATGAATCCCACACCTGAGACTATTTGCTGCACAGTTCCCTCCATTTTGCCCCACTGTAGAGTTAATACATGAACAAAAAAACACGTAATGAAGTGTTAATTTTGAAAGAACTGGCTCCAGTAAATACAGGAATTATGTGTGAATTATAGAGGAAAAAGCAGATACCAGATTGCAAATACAACAGGCAGAATATTATTTTACTCTGTAAACCATTTACTAATAGACTTTTTCAGAACAGGCATTGCATACTATATAATGGATATATTTTTCATCCTCCCCCCTACAAGTCAAACAAAGCAAATGTATTCTGGTTCCTATTAAACCTGATTCTACCTAATGTAACTTAATTTAGAAATACTTAGGGTTAAGTATAAATGTAAACAAAAAAAATGCAGGTTTTCTATTTGTTCGCATTACTAATGACAGTAAATATTGCTTGTGCTATGAGTGCCTATTATGTTGCACAAAGAGGGAAAGTACACACATTTTAACTTCCTGAGGAGGACAGCAAATGCTGGAAGTATGAGCCAAATTAATAAGGGTTATGTGAATATCTAAAAGACTATGGCAAAAACAAGATGAACATAAATGAACCCAAGAGACAGACTCAGACTTCACATTTCAGGAAAAAATGCCTAGTTATTCATGGACAAACCCCCCTCAATTTGCTAGCTAGAATTTTGTTCTGATTTAATAGCAAACACTCATCTGCAGTCCATCCTGCTAGTTATCAGTGCACGTTGACAGGACTGTAAAGGCTCTGTCGGAATAACTGAGCTTCTGCCAACTTTGCACGCTGTTGGGTTGGTCCTTATGTGGAAGGTTTGTTAATGTGTAGTCTACGATAGTGAGTATCTCTGAGAGTTTACTCTGAGTTCTCACTGATCTTTGCTGGCTTGTCTTGAAGGACAGTAGGACATGTATCATCCCTCCCTTGAGCAAATTATAAAAGCTGAACTGGCCACCTAAGCTTTTGCATAATTTTAAGGAGTCAACATAACTAGCAAAGATGGTCTAAACTAGAATTAGCCTTACTTCCTCCTTAACTCTTTAACCACCTTTTCTCTTCTCGCACATAAGTGAGATTGAGGTTTCAGTGTGGGAAACATGGAAACTATGTTTAGCGTCTGTTCTACTGCTCCACCCGTCAGCCAGGACTCAGGCAGTCATACCAACTGTCCTCTCAAATGCAGGCAGTACCAGCGATACCAATTTACCAGCAACCTCTACAGGTGAAATATCTGGTCCTTGTATATCCTCACACACAGGGGAAAGTTTTCTGCAACGCATGGGTGGGAGTTATGTGTCCAAGGTTGGACACTGCTGCCTTTCTTCCTCTTGGTGATCTTAAAAAATGAGGATTTCTGGCCCAGCCATTTCTTAATCTGCTGACCTTGCAAGACACAGTGATGCTGAACAATCAGAGCTAATACAATCTTATATAACCTCACGTGAAACTCATACTGTGGGAAAGCATAGAAATAGCATCAAGAAACATGAAGCATTTCTCAGCTATACAAGAATGTTTGATAGCTGGCATAATTTAGTAACCCCCAAAACAGATAGAAAATGTCTGTCAGCTGCTCCTTGCATGCATTGTTTCATCTTGTCTATCCTTGATTTCTCTTTATTCATTAAAGCCTTCAAGCCTTAACCCTACTTAAGTGTCCTGGTTTGAGTAAGTTGTGAAAGGAAGGCTCTAACAGCAAACTACTGTACTGAATAGCTGACAGAAAGAAATATGGGTATTCCTTTCTTAAATACAGGGACTTAAAAATGTGCTTTCTGCTATAATTCTAAATGCAAGCTCCTGGACCAAATGTAATACAAAAATTGTCAGCATTCACCATCATGAAGAATAGTTGCATGGTCTGGCCACATATAAACATAGACAAAACTATGAATACTGACAATGTTTGGCAAAGTTTTTTTACATATAGATGATAGTTCTATTTCTAGTAAATACTTTTCGTTACTCATATACATGTTAATCTTTTTTCCTCATCCATATTAATGCTGTTACTGGAGCAGTTGGGCAACTTCAAGCAGTAAGTGGGATAAAGCAAGGTAAACATTAAAAAATATTATAAAATAGACGCATTATAAGGTTCCTTTCAATCTTGCCAAGTTTTGTACCTTTATGGTAATAATTTTAGTAGCGAATGGGTCATCTTCCTGGATTTCACATGACAATACCATATTCTCATGAAATCTCACAAATGAAGCCTCTCATTTGTAATAACCAGTGTCTGGGGTAATGTGATATGAAGAAACCGACACATACTGCTACAGTGGCAGGTGGGAAAGGTCTTTCATGCAAGTCTGTGAAGTAGAGATGTTGGTAATATTATCTGAGGTCAATATCGGACC